ACTGAGAACCTTCACAGACATCTTTAGGAATAGTTCTCTGGGCTTCTTGAAAGCTCTTCTTTGGATGTCTGCTACCTTTTGTTCCATTCTCTGTCATGAGATTGTTGTAATATACCTTCCTTTTATATTACTTATACTACTACCGCAGCCTTTTCTCCCTGTTTCCCTTCCTTTAGAATGGCTTCTTGACAGCCACCAAGACCTTTTCTGATGAGCCTTCTGCAAACAATGGATGGATCAACTGAAGGTCTACATGATTCTCTTGGGTTCTGTGTCAAGTCTTTGCTGGATTTTTCCTATTTCTTAAGGATATAAGTAACAGATACTGTTCTTTTGCTATATATAGCTCTTTAGGCCTGCCACTTCTGTTTCTGTCCTCCCCTTTCCAGTTTTCAAAATCTTTTGAGCACACACTGCAGACACTGCCAAGATATGGCAAGGTTTCAGCTAATAGCTTTTTGAGGATCATCTTTTTGGTATAAGAATGATATTTTGTGCCTGTCAAACTGTTATTGTTGGCATTTTTCTTAGATTCAGCTAAATAAATGGGAACACATTATGTGTTTTTCTTTTTTTGACAGATTGCTGGTAAAAAAACGATTTTACAAAATCAGATTGGTTCTTTGCTAAGTCGTCTTTGCTAAGTCATCTCCTATGTGCAGACACAACAGTTAGGTGCCTTTTTATGCATGAATCATTCATAGGGTAGTGCTAAGTGACTTAAACAAAAAAACAAATACATTCCTCTGAAAATGGTCAGTTACAAAGAAAAATCAGCCGAAAGTCCAAACAGTTTTAAAGACCTTCAGAAATCCTAAAGAACTGCTGATAAAGACCTTTGAATTATTATTATTATTATTTTTTAAAATACCTCCTTAGTAACAAAAGTTAAAGAAGTGACGGATGGCTAAAGACTTTTTGCACAGTACTGGACCTGCTTAATAGGTATAATTAGACAAATGCCTATTACTGCTTATATCTGTCAAAATAAAAGTGTGGAGGGGAAGGCCACTTATTCTCAATCAAATTAAATCTCACTCTGTGTGAGCAGATCCAATTCAACAGTGATGCAGTTAAAAGGATTGCCACACTGAACTCTAGAAATCCCCAAAGCCCAAACTTGTGCATTTTACTAAAGACACAGTGGAACAACACAGAAGAGTTTCATCTTTTATTTACCAGGTTACTCATGATGAATTAAATTATCTAACAGCAGTTACATAACATGCCATTTTCTATCCAAGAAGATTTGTCATCAACCAAAACTATTAAAAATTATCCTAAATGCCGAGAATGAATTTACTGATATTGTTATTAGAATCAGAAGGACTGTTTGGTGTTGTTGGTTTCAATGAGCAGCAATAGATGGAAAGCTGCTACACCTAGTGGATTTCTGGCAGAGCTGCAAGAATATTAGGTTCAAGTAACAACACCTATTGTATGCAGTGACTTGCTGACACAGTCAAGGTGTTGTTTGTTGATAGTCCTAAGGTTTTACTTAATCGTGATCAATCATTTAGATCTTACCAGGATCTAAACTTCTTAAATACAACCTCAGATGAGAAATAACAGATGGCACACCACACCATGTCATTACTTCTTATGAAAGATTAAGCCAAAGTTCAGAAGCAGCACGATTTAATAACATGTAGAACCACCTTTGGCAGCATTACCTTGGAGTAAGTGTTTTCTGTCTGACTTTATCAGTCTCTCACATCACCGTGGAGATATTTGGGTCCATTACTCCATAAATCGCTGTTTCAGTTCATTGATGTTTGTGGGCAGGTTTATGCAAAGCTCTCTTAGAGTAGTGCCACACAATATCAGTCAGGCTGAGGTCTGGACTTTCACTGGGCCATTGCAACACCCTGATTCTTCTCTGGTTCAGCCATTTCAGCCATGCAGTAGAATTCTTCCTTTGCTTGAGTTCATCAAATCAGCTCGCGCTTCATCAGCTATCAGACAGATGGCCTCACATTTGACTCTAGAACACTTTGGTATACAAAGGAGCTCATGGTTGACTCAATAACTGTAAGGTACGGAGATCCTGTGGCAGTAAGACAAGATCGTGCCTGACAGTTGATACGAGATGTTTGTGCTGATATGCTTTGTTTGGGTTTTGCCACACATGGCGCTGTGCATTATGGCCAAACTTGTACACTTTAGTCTAATCTGTCCAAACATTGCTTGAACATATTTTTCAGAAGTCTTGCCATTTGTTTTTCCCCCCACCACGAAAGGCTTTCTTCTGGCAATCCTTCCAAACGAGCCATACTTCTTAAAGATCATTGCTGAGGTCTTTTCTCTTTGGCATTGTATAAATAGGCACTCACACTTGTTGATGATCATTTAATCAAGTGCTACTCACCATCTTAATTTCTATTAACTGTTTCCCAAACCGTTTCTGCGTTTTGGCTTAATTTTATATGTCCTGATATGTAAAAGAATTGAAATTGGAAGACAAATTCAAAGAGGTTCTTTCAATTTAACTTGTTTTGTTAAACTGAAAGAACATAGTGTTAAACATAGTGAATATACTGGGTCTCAGGGGGATGTTGACCAATAGATTTTACTTCACAAAAATATTAAGTAATTAAAAGCAATATGCAGACCTTTAGAGGTTATAGTCTTGTTTGTCTACCAGTGCATCATCAGAGTTATTGGTTGTTTGGTTGTCAGATGTGTCCCTTGTATTCATATTCTCTTATTCATACCGACTCTAAAAAAAGTCTTCCAAACACACTTAAATGTAAACTATGAAGGGTAAAACTGACAGCGGTGGGTTAAAGCAATTGTAAATGTAGGTTCCTTTAAATTTCTAATACAAAAAAAAGAGTATTTCGGTGAAAAGTTCAATGCATATATAAATATGTGAGTATTGTTTTAACATGTGAAGTGTTTGACCCTTTGCTCTCTTGGCTGAGGATATTAGAAAGACTGTATGACCCGAGCCCTCGCTAATTACCCAAGAAACTCAAATTAGCTTTGTAAGAATGTAAATAACCCTCAAGGCACATTTCCATGAAAATAACATCATGCTTTGTCAAATTTGCACATCTATCTTGTGGCGATTTTCATTTACATTTGGTGTTTATAATGATTACTGTTAATGTATCTATTCATTATAAAACATAATGTCTCTGTTTCTTTATCTGATCTCAAATGGGCTGTGATAATTTCTTCTGCCTAAGTTTCACACTGAAAACATTTGAAACTGGAGACTGTGGCCAGTCAACGCTATTAAGGGCCTTCCTATCAGCTTAATGCCGGGTTTAATTTCAAAATGGAGGGAAGCAAATGGACTGTGAAATATGTGCTAATGGTAACAAGACTTCTCCAAGTTTGGTGAAGGAAAGAGGCACAGAGACAGAGAGACCATGTAATGCCCCGTTCTGTTATCACTGAGTCTGCACATATAATTTCACAGAGTTTTGGAGTCAGAACTCTGAGACAAGCACAATTAAACTACAGACTGCAAAGGGACAGCCTGCTATAATGCTGTGTTAGAAAGTTCACAGAGAGAGTTCGTTTAAAGTATACAGTTTAAAAATAAGGCTCACATCAAGCAAATAAATCTCTACCTCTGTGAGATCCAAGAGCAATATGAAAACACATGTTTACAATTAAGACAATGTGAGACGTGCTATTTGCTGAAAGCATTCATTTTTGTTTATATAATTTCTCATCTTTAGGGGGAAATTTGGCTGAATAAATATTCATTAAAGAGTGCAACACCTCTTCCCTTGGACCACCCCGCTGTATATCCACCCATGTATAGAAATTGCTACTTCATTATTCTTAATGTTAGAGATTAGCTGGCAGCTGTAGTTTTTATGCCGTGCTTTCATTTTTGAAGTGCAAATCCCTGAAGCACATTGGTAAAGTGAATAGCTTGAGTAGTTTGTTTGATTGGTCACACACAAGTTTCTTATATCAAAGAGTCCCTGAAAAATAAATGCAGAAATTCAAGATATTGTTAAAAAAAAATAAAAAGCATATTTTTCCTTGCATAATAGTTTGGAGCCCAAACAGCAAAAGAGCACAAGACATAACACATTTTAGGGATTTAAGATTACAGCACTGCTTTTAGGCCCAAATAAAGACGCTAAATGCTCCAAATTCTTGCCAAAAGTTGAAGTTTATGATGCCTCTCTATAGCAATAAAGCAGCTAGGATCACTTTCATCCAGAATGGAACTGAACCATTTATGATCAAAAGTTAAAATCTCTCGTAACGCATTGATCTTTTTACAAGATAATTTACACCCAAAACAGCATAAGTGAGAAAAAGAAATAATGATATAATGACGACTTTCTGGGAAACAAAGACAGTATTAGTTAGACGGTAGCGCTCACAATGCATTCAGAATAGGGGAAGGAAATCATCGAGGGAAATGTTATTTTTGTGTAATTGCAGTTGAAATACGTTATATTTTGCACTGACCTTAACATTTCTGTAGAAGAAAGCATATGAGGCGTGTTAAACGAGATGAGAAGAAAAGAGCCTCTTCCTGCATGTGTGGTAAACAAAAGGAGGCCACTGAATTTCAGAAGCAGATGGGCCACCAAACAAAGAACTAAACACAATTTGGGTATGAACAGAAGACCACATCAAAAGAAGCAGACAACTGCATTAAAGTAACCGCACCAGGTTACCAATTCTACCTTGTGTTGTATGCAGGCTACAAATAAATACAGCAAACGAGGGGGCGTGCTAAGGATCTCAATTTAATATCATATACATAAAATATTAACTAATGAAAATGAAGATATGTAACATCAAGTATGTGACTCTAAAACTATTACAAATAAATATGTGTGACTTGAGTATTCAATGATTTAAAGGTGCAGTGAAATATCCCTGCATGTTGAAGGGTAACAAGTGAGAAACACTTTAGAAAAAGGGCAGAAAAGACAATCTGAACAATATGTATTCTGGTATTATGTTTGCAAATGGCAAAGAGGGACCTTCGGGATGCTGTATCCTTCCATAGTCTTTTGCAAATAGCAGAACACTTGTAAATCCTTCTTAAGACAAACAATGAAGCTTAAAGTCCACTTCAGGTCACATGCAAACAAGTTTTGCATAAGGTGCATGATTTAATGATACACTCTTGTCATCCCTTTTAGCACAATCTGTCTGTATATTTCTTTTTCGTCTCAGGAGAGGTGGAAAAGGCTGTAGCCGACCTGTGAGGCGTACATAGCCAGATGTGCAGCAGGGAGAACAGGGGTGCGGCCGTATGAGTAGCCCAGTCCATAGAGCCCTGCCGAACCAGCGTGCAGGGGAAAACCCAAGGATGAGTATCCTGGGTAGAAGACAGCTTTGGAGCCTACACCAGCTGCTAGTTTGAGTTTCTCTACTTCAGCCTCCTGAAGCCTCTTGGCTTTGGCCCGTCGATTCTGAAACCAGATCTTGACTTGGGTCTCGGACAGGGACAGTGAGGAGGAGAACTCGGCCCGCTCGGCGATGGACAGGTACTGCTTCTGACGAAATTTCCTCTCCAGGGCCAGAAGCTGCATTGTGGTAAAGGGAGTACGAGGCTTACGGTTGGTTTTGTGCTTCCTCAATGAGCAGACTGTCGGACTAAGCTGCCCTACAGGATATATGGAAAACATGAAACTAAATCAGCTGTCAAAGCAAACAGACCTTTAATTCTTTCCTTTTCAGTGGTTTAACACCAAATGACTAAACAGGAAAAGTAATGATCAGAAAATTAATGGACAGCAATACTGATGGAAAAGCCACGCTTCTCCTGTATCCTGCTTCTTAGAGTATTTACCACTATCTAAAATTTTAAATAATGCAAGATGATTATCTTTAAACAATGTGAAACTGGTGAGTAGAAAAATCATTATGCAAAATTCTTAAAAACAAATCAATATATTTCTCTTTTTATTACTCCTTCTTGTTCTGTCAAAAATGTTTGATTTGTCTATTGATTCAGTATTAATTATGCATAAAAACTCTTTCTTAAAATTATGAACTTGAAGCCAGCTGTGGGACTTTTCCTCCAACTTTACACATTTGCATTACAAAAGTTTAAACTGGATGACTTACAGTACTCGAAGACCCTGATTTAAAAAAAAAAAACCCTGATTCAAAACTGAACCACTAACTAGTAATAAAACTGGATTGGAAAATGACTTACGTGGGGGAGTAGACATCTTAATGGAGCTGGATATCCAAGAGGGAAATTCCTGTTGTTCCAGTGGCTCTGATTTAATAGATATTAAGTTTTGTGTGCACTCATCTGTCCGCTGCGCCTCATCCTCCTTCAAATCATAATTTCCCTTTTCTTTGCTGGTCACAGCCAGCGGCCTTGTCTCCGACATGAGAGCTTCAACGCTGAAGGGAAGACAGGATGTTTGTGCCATGCGCCCGAGCTTCAGCTGCGTTGATCCTGCATCCTCTTCTGTGGAAAACTCATTTCTTGAGTCCCCAGACGCAGACATTTTTTCTTCTCTTTCTTTTCAGTATTAGAATTTAAGTACAATCCATAAGACACTTTTCTGGTCCCAGAATGAGACCGGTCAGAGAGGAATCTGGAGTAGCTTCTCTTAAGCTGTCACAAAGCTGACAGAGTTAGTGCTGGAAAAAGTCTGGCGTGCATTTGGGACTTTCAGCCAATGATGAGTCTTGATCCCAGGGTTTGGGGGAAGACTTGTGATTGGACGTTGTGTTTAGGGCACTCTGCCACACCCCTAACCAGACAGCAGGTCAGCTTCGCATCAGCCTCATTTAGCAGTAATTACCATGGTGGAAGATTGTTTCCTGGCTGTATTTCTTTCACTCTGCAAACTGCATACCCTTAGTTAACATTGAAAAAGCTTGCACATAGTCATGCTTGATGTCTTGAATTAATGCAGAATCATTTTAAATGAGACAGAGGCCGAATACAAAACCTTACTAATATATGTAAATCGATTCCCTGGCTGCTAAGCTCTGTCCCGTACAGCAATTAGGCTGGTAGATTGGCTTGCCGTGTCTTCAAGCATCAGCGTCTGTCTGTAGAGCTGCATTTCCATTTGACAAAAGCTGACGATGCTCCTAATTCAAGCCCCAACGCGCAGACCCTGCCACACCGACTGTTGGAGTAATCACAATGGCAATCAATAACAATCATGGTGCTTTCAAAATTCAGACATCACACAGCAGTTACACACTTAAATGTGAGAGTCAGTTGGGCGATGGATTATGGTTTTGGGCAGGCTTTAAAATGACTGTCATTACATTGTTATTATTAACACCTTGTAATTAGGCCTGTGGAATCCGGTTCTTTTAAGCAGGATTTAACGGTAATGATGGAAAATTGCTACCTTCCTGAGGTGTATGGCGCCCGCTGCGATTAGTCCCAGTCTCTGCTGTGTGGATGGAGACAGAGGTGTCTCGTGCCTGTTTGAAGCTCATACCTGTAGGGCTCCAAAGTATTAGGAAACATCACGAGAAGTAACGGCGTTCCTAAATGCAGCCTCTAGCCACTCAGTGAAGAATACCAGTGCAGTGCATGGGTTTTACAAGTGACACAAAAAAGTGACACACACCTAACTTCATGCAAGATGAATGTGCTTGCTGCATACTCTAGCTCTCTCTGTCTGTCTCTCCCTCACAGACACATGTCCGCACATCGCAAAGACCTCCTGTGAAGTGACTGGTGTGTGCTGCTGTGTCCAGTGCTCTGTGATCAGCCCTCACAGAGAATGTGTGCTCTCTGTAATCATCAGGATTACAGTGGCATCAGGGTCTCAGCTCCCCAGCTCCACAACACAGTTACTCTCCATGTGAAGCAAAGTGCTCACACAGCACGAGCTTAGTCTCCTGTAATACGCACGTGCATCTTAACAAAGGAGCCTCTCTGTCATTACAGTGCTTTTCTACCGATTCCCTACCTACAGGTTTATAATGTGCACGGGTAACTGGGTGTGAGCTTATATTTGAAAATCAAACAGAACTGTTAGACTTTTGGTAATCAAGAAGGGTATAGGTGAATAATGGTGAGAAACATCATCACATACCATCATATTTTATATTAAAAGCGGGACACATAAAACTGATAAAACTACAATAGTGTTTAAAATTCTAAATGATTAAAAAACCATGCATTTGCACGCATGTTTCTAATAAATAATAAAACAGGAGGACAGAGGGCCATGCACTTTAAGGCGGGACAACAGCCCTGTTAGGCTAATATATGTAATTGAAGGAGCATTTGATAGCCAACTGCTGGCATATCCTATGTGAACACTTCGCAACTTCAATTAAACCATACACAAAAATCATCTAGAGTATTTTAGTTAAAATTACAGAAATAGTAATAACAGCATCAGCTGTAACCCACAGAAGTTTAATGCATTCAACACACAGTGGGAAATGTTTTAAAAAAGGTACCACCGTATTGACTTAGAGGCAACGAAATAACTAAACCAGGTTCAAGGACAATGCATGCAAACACATGTAAAACCCAGATTTTCGTGAAAAGAGCTTATCTTGAGGTCAATCTCAAAATTATATCATTTCCCTCAGTACTTTATTTTTCCAACATACATAATGCCTAAATAAATTAGGACATAACCCAGGTATACCATAAAAAGAATACTTTTATCCTGAGTATCAAAGAGTTGAGAGCTTAACTAGAGGAAAAGAAATATCACAGCTCCATCTTACAAAGAAACATTTGATAGTTAACCTTCATTTGCTTTAGTCGTTTTTTGTTTTGTTTTTTTTGTCTAAAAAAGAAAAATTCTTAAAACACAGATAAATGCCCTATACAACATGTCACCAAAACACATACAGAAATGTAATTCTGTATGTGTTTCTTCAAGTGATGAAGCCCATGTTACTGACGGTGCCACAGACAGTATATAAGAGAGTCTGTTAGGGAAAACCCATTTTAAAAGCCTCAAACTGAGTGTTTCATTCTCACCATCACCACCAGCAAAATAACTGCTTACACTTTAACAGCAACTGAAGTAACTTAACCATTTTCTCTTTTTGGTTTGTAATTTACTTGAGCTGCATTCGTTTTGCTGCAAGTTTCGGGTATAGATGCACTCAGACTCAGATATTTGCCCTTTCCTCGTCTTACGAACAACCGCAGCTCTATAGTAATGAGTAATAGCTTTCTGAAGTCACCACAGCAACACCGACACATGTAAGCTGTACCACACGCCAGCATCTCACAGTGACGAAATAAGACAGACGACAGCTCACCTTTACTTCAGTCAAAATAGAAAAACTGTAAAGCTACATGCTTTTTTTTTTTAGCAGTAACACAATTTCCAGGACTTGTAGCATGATGTTTAACGGCTTTATAGTTAAACACACTAACTACAGCCATACTAACTATATCAAGATGGTAGTGTTTCTGGGGGCACAGTCTGGTAATCATTGTACCAACTAAGAACAGCCTTTATGGCCACAGTGTACCCATTTCCTGAAGGCTGTTTCCAACAGGATAATATACCATGTCACAAAGTTTAAAACACACCAAACATGACAGTGAACTCATTGCCACAATAATGATTCCATACATTTTTCTGTAGTTAATTTGTAGCCATGGAAAACATCAATAAATAAAATCCCCCGAGTAATTAAAAAAATCCCCATCTCACCACAAGTTACAGCTTCCCTATATGCTAATGTGCATGTGACACTCTAAGTCTTACAGGAAGTCAGCCTTTAACCCACATGTGCTGCTAAATCAAACCACAACAAGCATTCAGTAAAAGTATCTCACAAATTTCACCACAAATTCATGATGCACCATAGTCTTAAAAGGTCACATTTATGATTCTTCTGAACACGGTAGCAGATGGGAAACATCAGCTTTTAGTGTGATCACGATCGCAAGTGGCAGAAATATTATGTGAAAGAAATAGTAGAAGCGAGTGTGCCGATGTGTTAAACTTAGCACTGCATATTACAAACAGCAATGAAGTCAACTTTCATGTTCATCGTGTATGTAGCAATTCCCACAATACCCACCAACTACAAATATATTTCATAAACCTGATTTACGTTTCCCATTGTTTTATTTGGGGCTGCTTCAACTTGGTATGATTATTGACTCATTTACCTTTTATTTATTTACTTTTTACTAAACTTTAAGAACAAATGAAAAAAAGTTACTACAAAATGTATTTGATATGGAACAAAATGGTTTATCACTTTAGTGTACAACTGTATGGGCTTTATGGTACCTATGGCATGGCATTGCTAGCAACTCCAGGCAGCACAATTTGTGAGATCATTTTTATTTATAATTGACCATAATCACACTGTATATTGTCAACAATATATAGATATAATGAAAAAAGCACATCTTTGCTGCAGTATGGGGCAACATTAGGATCGTGGATTATACTAAGGACTTTTAAGGGAAACGACAGAGATAAGAGTGGACTGCAGCACTGTAATAAAGCTGTAGATGATGATCACTGACTTTCTGTTGCATTACAAAAGGACTTAAATGGCTACCCTGGGTCTGTGTTTTAAGCTGATAGCAAACTAACGCGCAATACTTTAAAGTGATGGTGTGACATTTAAGCATGGTTCTGTCTGATGGCCAAGTTAAGAGCAAGCAGTCACAGTACCCCAAATGCCAAAAGCACACAGCTGCAATTTACCATCTTGTCAGTGCGGTTGTAACTTCTGCTATCCCAATTACAAGCTAGCCATTGCATAATTTTTCTACTGTCAGTGCAAATAAAAGCAGGAGAAACCTAGAAGATATGTAGTTAAGTGATCTAATGGTCAGGCGCCCACCAGAAAGTCCCCAGAGCTATTTGGTCCCAAATACCTTCATCTGTTAAATTTTCCACCCACGTACCCCTACATATTTGAGAATCATTGGCTAACAGCAAAGAAATCCAGCAGCAAAATATCAATCTAATCTTCAAAAATGTAAAAAGGAAAAAACAACAACTTTAACCCACTTTGGTTTTATCTTTCTTGCCACACAGTCAGTGCTCAAATTTGCTGACAGTGTCAGGCGCTTTTTCTCACATTAAGCTGTCTCAGTCAGGATGTGGCATAGAAGGTGTTAAAAAGTAATGAATCATCCAACATCACGAAAAAGTAGAAACACCACTGCAATGCCATCAAGGGTAATAAGACTTTGCATTTTATAGAAACTAACACAGGTTTATTTTAAGATAAGCATGAATTTAAAGGCCAAAGAGTACATATCGCCAGTTCCTGCTAATAGTGCAGCGGATAACTGAAACAATCTACAAGCACCAACATTTGCATATTTTTCCCCCTTTAGCCAATAATTTTAAAAAAGAAAATCACTTTAGCCCCTTGAATTTTCAAAATGTCAAAACTTCCCAATTCAGTCATCATCTCTATCTTAGAAAACAATTGTTTGACTTATAGAAGTTTGTACTCTTGATTTATATGCTTCTGATCAAAAGTAACCATAATCTATAACTATAAAATCTCTCTGCATGTATCTGAGTGTCTTAGTTTCAGGTAAAACAAAATGATTGAAATGAAAAGATTTTCCCTTCCCCCACTTTTGTAGCACTATGATGCATACAGCTAGGTTCAGACATTCACCCAGCGCCAAATTC